GTTAGTATAGCTACTGTAGTTACGAAGAAATTGCTGGGGTCCTTTGCAGACCACTTCTTAATCTCAGTTTACTAATCAATTAAAAATTACTTCTTTGATGTACAGGCACATGTCTCTACATGTGGGTAAGACCCTGGGTAATTCTGGACATGTGCTCTAGACATAATAGATAAGAATGCCAAAAATAGATGACTGGATCAAGAAGCTGGGATTGAGATACACACACACACACACACACACACAATGAAGTACTATTCAGCAATCAAAAAAGATAAACTAATGCCATTGACAACAACATGGATGGAGCTAGAAGGGATTATGCTCAGTGAAATAAGCCAGAAGGAAAAAGAAAAATATCGGAGGAATAGAGGGGAACCAAATAAGGCATCAGGGAAAAAATAAAAATTAAAAACACAACACAACAACAACAACAAAAAACAAACAGACAGCTATAAATCAGAGACATCCTGCAGGGGATGGGGAGGAAGAAGGATCAAAACAAGGGCGGGAAGAGCACAAGGGACTATGGTGATGGTGCATGGGTGAATTGGTGGTGGAAATTCTATGGGGACTACACCTAAGGGAAAAAAGCAAACATTGTGAAAAAAGAAAAAATGAACAATGATGTAAAATATATATAAGTAAATAATTGAAAAATAGATAAGAATGATTGATTTTGGTATTGAGTGAGGTGAAAATTGTCAAAAGATGAACGGACTTTTTATGGACCATTTATAAGTTTTTAGATGAGGGTAATTATAGTTCATATAAGAATAATATCAGTTTCCTCTTATTAACTTTTTTTTTTAAGATTTATTTATTTATGCATACAAGAACTGGGGTACTTGGCCAGAGGTGCAGGGGGTAAGAGGATTCACCATAGACAGAGTGGGGAACAGAACAGGCAGCAGCGGATGAGTCAGGAGAGGTCTGCTGCACCATGTGGGTATCTCCCTGGCCGGGGTTGCATCTTAACCCCTTGTGCTACCAGGGAGGCCCTCCTCTTACTATGTTTGACTTAATAATATTTTAATAATATGCTTTTGTTGACAAAGAATTGTAATTTTTTTTTTTTTACTCCCAGAACATTGCTAAGAGTATTGTTAAATATTTTAATTTGGGAATGATCTGTACTTTGTTGCTGTGTTGGAATAGGCATTTATTAGGAAGGAGAGAATCTGGTTGAAGTCCTTTCTTTGACACTTAGATGTTGAGTAACCTTGGATCCTTAACCTCCTGAACCTGTTTCCTCATTTGTACAATGGAGATAAACAGTAGCACTTGCCCAGTTAGTGTTGTGGGGGTGGGGGGTGGGGGGGTGGGGGAGGGTAGGTCAGATGAAATGTGACATGTGAGAGCACTTTTTAGACATGGAAGTACTGTGTCAGACTATATTTGTATCATCAGAGATCATTTGAAAATTTGCCTGAGTTCAGGGTCTTAGTCATCGTAGTATAGACAGAATGTATATTTCAGTAAAAAATCATGTAAAAATAAAGCAGCTTGTCCTTGAGGTAAGTGGTTTACTAATTTCTATTAGTAAATTATGGGAGGGTGACATAGTTGCTTTAATAGTTTATTGTCCCCAGTGAAATAAGGTTTGCGTCTCCCCTCGCAGGTGATTTACATTTAAAGGTTAGTTCTCTCTCTCTAGTGGCTTATAGGCTAAGAAATTTATAAAAATGCTACTGTTGTGTTTGGATGTGTGTGGATGGACAGTTGGTTTCTTGTTTGACAAATGTTTAATGGTAGGGTGATTTGAAAAGGTCAAGGGCAGATGAAACTTTTAAGTTGGTAGTCTTTATTTTACTTTAGTCAATTGTCTTTTAGAATTTGATTATTCTGTTATAGATTTTTTTTTAATTAAGTGGATAAACTACATTAATTGTGAAGCTTAGAAGATTTTGGCAAGGGTAGACATGGAAAATGGTGTTTAAAAGACCCAGGTAGGGTAATTTCTGAGATGACTAGTTTGAATTTATTGTGCTATCATTCTCAGTTGGGATAGAGTCATAAAAAGGTAGATTGTTAGACCATTATTCAGATAGAGTTATAACTTTAATTTTCAAAGCAGGGTAAATCTAAACATTAGTGCTTTGTTACTGTTACCATATTCATATAAATCATTTTCCTTGACTAAGCTTTTTTACTTTAAACATCATTCAAAAAGCATCATGAAATCACAGAAGAACTAATATAAAACTTGATTACCTTAAAATATGATCTACTTAAAAGATGTTGAAGAATTTTAAGCATTTTTCATTTCTAATTCTTATGCTATGTGTGCCAGTGCTTATGAGAGGATAAGCAGTTAAAACTTGTGTAAGCATTTAGGTTAAATGAAACTTCAAAATTTAGCTCTATAAAAGGTAATCCGATGAACCAAGCACTATGTTCTTTATCAGTGAATGGTTTATCTAAAATGGTTGTATTTGAAAGTACCATTAAGATGTAAGGTATAATGACATAATTTTAAGACAGTTAAATTTTTATTAGTTTCCTTTTTATATTAAGTTTTGTTGTCTTAGAAGTTCATTCTTGATACTTTTTTGTGGAGGTTTCCTCAAATACATCTTCTGTCTGGATTTTGATAAATTAATTCATAAAACTTCATCTTTTGCAAGTCTGTCTTTTCTAGGTAACCATGATATTTGCAACATAATTTAGTAAACTGATAGGATAGAAGAGTATAGGAGATGAGGTCTGAGATATGAGGGTGATGATGGTGAGGAGGGAATAGCACAATAGATTGTCCAGGACTCTTGTACACTGTTAGAAGGATTTTGGTTCATCGTTTAATAATTTCATAACCTTTGGTAAGTTATTTAATCCTTCAGTTTTCGCTTCTGAAAAATGTGAATAATACTAGCACCAATCTCATAGGTTTGTTGTTTGGATTGAGTAACTATCCAGAGTCCTAGAAACATAACTAAGTAGAGTTTCTATTCTAGAGACATAGTTTGTTGTGCAGATGAGTTAGGGAAATTGTGGGTTTCCATGGTAGAGGAAAGGTTGTCAATGGGAAAGATATTTCAAAATTTGTTTATAGATTTAGACTTTTAATTTACATTATTTTGTGTGTGCGTGTGTGAAAGGGGGGGGGGCCGCTTGTTCCCTTCACTTTTAACATACCTAATTAGGTTCTTTGATGTATGACAGCCTTAATGTAAGACTTTCCATAAAAAGTGATGCAAGAAGGTGGCTAGCTAGACATATTTTGTGAAAATATTTTCAACAGAATATTAGCATTTCACAAACATTTTTCCAGTCTGTAAATTTCACCATACCGTGTGGTAATATATGTAATAATTCCTTGATTGCAGACTAGATATATTCATCAACTTTCGAGAAGATTCATAACATACATAACTTGAGGACATTTTTGTTTCCTGTTTATAGACTTTTCCATGCTTTATTTGTTCAGCTTTATTTCTTCAGCTATGCTAAAAATTCTAGAAGTTTAATAAAGAACATAGAATAATGAGTGGTAGTGTAGATATAGTTTTACTTTTCCTGTTTTTAATGATGTCTAATAGAAATAGTATAGTGTTGTGGCTTTTTTAAAAAAATATTTTTTTTGGTACTATTGCTATGCAAACATATACTTACAGGTAGTTTTACATAACTGAGTGGAGTGGTAGATATGTATGGTCTTTCTTGTTTCCTGGGGTACAAAACTTGGAGGCAGGTAACTGTGAGCTTAGTAGAAACAAATTATATTTTAAAATAGATTTTTTGGCTGTAACTAGTTTAGCAACAAAGCTACTAACTTGCTAAGGACTAGAAAATATGAATTATCAGAAGGTCAATAGTGTTTACACTGACTAGAAAATAAGAATTATCAGAAAAGCTATGGTATTTGTAAACCCCTGATAAAATTATATAGATACAACTTTGAATTAATGTACTTGGTTATTTTTAAAGATTTTAAGTTTACTTAGTTTTGGTTTTACATGTACAGCTTTTACTGATTTGTAAGATATTTATTGAATAAAAATATGTTGGGACTCTCATAAAATGCTTTGTTATTTCTGAATGAAAGTTGTATTTGTTCTGTTCTTTGTTTCTAACAAAATGTCAACTCTCAGTTTTCATTACCTCCATCTCATATACCAAGAAAGCTACAGATAGAAAATAATGTGTTCAGTAACAATGTGCCGTCACATGGGGGCTTCACTGTCTCTGCTAAAAGGTTTATAGTTTGACATTTAAAAATATGTGAACCATTTTAACAATATTAAGTCTTTGCCTTGAGAATTTAAATATTTAATATTTTTGTATTTTCAAAAACTATATCCTTAACATGCTCAGGCTTTTGAATTAAGGGAAATGTTATGGGGGTATTTAAGAAATAATAATATTAGAGTAATGGAAAGTATCAACATGCGATTTAATGAAGTACATTTGTCTTCTCATTTTAAGTGGTTTAAGGCAATTCTAGGTTATTGCTCTGATTTTAAAGAAATGTTAATTCTCAGCTACAAGTTAAATATGTAAACCTCTAGTTTCTGGATTAATGTTTTTAAAGATTTATTTATTTATGCATACAAGAATTGGGGTACAGGCCAGAGGTGTGTGTGTGTGGGGGGGGTGACAGGATTCACCAGAGACAGAGTGGGGAACAGAACAGGTACACTGACTGAAATACACTGCTGAGGGGAGCAGCAGGCAAGACAGGAGGGGTCTGCTGGCTAGGGATCAAACTTGTGCTGCCGTGGCTGTGGATAGCTTCATAGGTTGTATCTTAACCCCTGGTGCCACCAGGGAGGCCCTTCTGGATTAATTTATTACCTTTATTGATACGATTTAGCACTGATGGGTCTTTATGGTTTGGCTAAATGTTAGTTGCTACTAATTTTATTTACTACAACAACAGTATTTAACATGGAAAGAAATTTGTTAGATTTAATACATTCAGTTGTAATTGTTTCATTTGACTAAGAATATGTCAAATCCTGATTCTTTTGGGGGGATAACTGTATTTCTGTACTTTTTTGTAGGATAGAAGGAGGAATCAACAGCTGGAAATACAACCAAGTGATCTGACGGGATGGGCATTTGCCTGACATACTTTATAGAGGTAATGTAACACTGTTATACTCAATCTTTGATTTTTTTTTACCTGTGATGATCTCAGGTGCTTACACATGAATGCAGCTGTCACAACTATTGGGTAGTACTGCACAGTACTGGACAACCCTTTCCTTTTATACCTACTTATATATGGCATGAATATTATGAATATACATAGCAAGATAATGCTTTATATAGATAAGAACATTTGCACATTGGAAAGAATGTTAGTAGCTTTATAGGATGAAGGCCATTATCATCTCTCACTTAATTTATGTTACTTGCATGTCTATTTTTTAGGACCCACTTCACTTATATTAGGAATACAAATGATCCTTTCTTCTTGGTACATATATTAAACCTGTGCTTTTCAATCTGTTAAACAAAGTGAAAGAAAATGACCTAATAGTTGTCAGGGTATTTAGATATCTGTTAGTGGCATATGGTATCATGTCAATTATGTTCATAAAATATCTAAAGTTTCTTGTAAATTTTGTTTTGAGAATTCTTATAAATAAGGATGTGAAAATATTAGTAGTTTTAATGGCCATATTTTAAGATTTCCTTCTTTTTCCTGGTAATTGTCATGTTTAACTTTTTTCACTGTTTAACCGGGTTTATTCTAAGAGTACACACTTAAGCAGTAGATGTTATGTTAGAAAACAAGACTATCTCTTTTCACTAACTGTTCACATTTGCATGTGAATGTGTATCCTTCCAGACATTTTTACTCTCTCCCTCTGTATGTATGCTTATATGTGTATGTATATAAGCATTTTTATGTATATCGATATATACCTATTCTTTAGACAAATGAGGTCACACCATACATTTTGTATATCAGCATGTCTTTTTTTGTAGACTTCATTTCATTCAGTGTAGTATTCTAGTATTTTAGTCATCTATTTCTGGATATTTAGGTTTTTAGTTGTTTTTGCTATTACGAGTGCTAATGTGTGTGTTGTCTTTGCATGTATCTAAAATTTATCTGCAGTATAAAATCCTAAGGGAAAAACAGTTTATACATTTACTAATTTGGTAGACAAATTGCATAACTTAAATGATTGCCCCAATATCAGTAGTCTAGGAAAATGGTAATCTCTTTCTCTCTTTGATGATACTAGCTAGTGTCAAATTTTAATATTTTTAGTTTTTTGTTGTTTAGTGTTGCTTTTCAAAATTCATTATGAGCGAGTTTGAGCATTTTTCTCATTTTATTGGCCATATGTATATTTTTAGTTAGTTGTTTGACCATGTGCTCAGCCCCTTCTTATTTGTTCGGAAAATTCTTTTCACTCAGTTTTTGCTTATCTTTTGGTTTTACCTTGTAGAAGTTTGTATATTTTATGGTTGAATTTTTCCATCATTTTCTTCATGGCTGCATGTGGGGCGGTTTCTCTGTAAGGTTTAAAAAAATCTTCACCGTTGATTGTAGAACTCACCTTTTTTCTCTACATTATAATCTCTAAGACATTAATCATCAGTTTGTCATAGTTTGACGTAATTATTTTGTTTCCTAATAGCACATGAAATAATTGTATATCTTTAGATTGGTAGTTTTAGATTCTGTGAACAGTGGTACTTACAAAAAAGTTACATAGATTTTTCTATCACTTTTTTTTGTTTAAAATTTTCATGTATATTGAATATATTTGGTATAAATAATAAATGGAGTGATTCAGCTTTACTTTTCCCAGATAACTAACCAGTTGTCTCCATTCCAGTTATCAAATTACATATTTCTTTTCTACATATTTGAAAAAAAAGTATACATTCACAGTAACAATTAGAAAGGTAAAATGCCTGGGAGTGATCTACCTGAAGAAATTTTGAAACTCTACTGAGGGGTAAGGAAGAAAATTTGTGTTAGTTCAAATTTTTATTAGGAACATGATATAAAGTTGTCATTTAACTTGGAAATATATTGATTTTTTTTTTTTTTTTTTGGTTGAACTACTATCTTGTTACCTTACTAAACTTATTTCTTGTGGCCTTGAACTCAATTAGTTCTATTTAACTATTTTGTGGATTCATTGGGAAATTTCTACATACAGGATCATATCACCAGAGAGTATAGTTTTATTTCATCCTTTCTAGCCTGAGTCCTTTTTAATTGCTTGCTTTATCTACCTGCCTGCCTGCCTACCTCCGTACCCAATCTGTTTTTGCATGCTTTATTTCACCAGCTAGCGCCTCATTACAATTTTGAATAGAAGTAGTGAAAACAGACATCCCTATTTTTAGTAGGAAAATATTCAGTGTTTAACCATTACTATGATGTTATTTGTGGCTTTTTTGTAGATTCCTTTTATCAGGTTGAGGGAGTTCTTTTCTAGTCCTAGTTGTTGACAGTTTTTATTATGAATGGGTATTGCATTTTATCAAGTCCTTTTGTACTATGTGTTCAGCTAACTGTTTTTTTCCTTTATTCTCCTTAATATGGTATATTTATTACATTAATTTATTTTCCGATTTAAATCATGTTTGCATTCGTGAAGTATACCCTGCTTGGTCATGGTGTATAGTCCATTTTTTTTTAATGCTTTTAATATTTTTTAAGGTTTTTGTATCTATGTCCATGAAACATGTTTGGTGTGTAGTTTTCATGTGATGTCTTTAACTGGCATATATGTAACTCTGACTTCTTAGATTGGGTTGCAAAATGTGCCTTCTTCCCCAGTTTTGTCAAGGATTAGTATTTTTAAAAAATTGATGGAATTCATCAGTGAATCCATTTGAGCCTGAACTTTTCTTTGTCTAATTCAGTTTGTTGTTACATTCAGATTTTCCTATTTCATCTGTAGTCATTTTTGATAATATGTGTCACTTTAGGAATTTATTTCACAAAAGTTGTTTAATTTGTTGACTTAAATTTGTTTATATTAGTCCTTATAATTCTCTTAATTTTTATCACATCAGTTGTAATGTCCCTTCTTTCATTCCTGGTTTTGGTAATTTTGTATATTTTTCCCTCTTTGTTTTCAGTCAGTGCATCTGAAAATTTGTCAATTTTGTTAATCTTTTAACAAAATTAATTTCATTAATTTTTGCTCTCATCTTTATTATTCTCTTTCTTCTGCTTGCTTTATAATGTAGTTTACTCTTTTTCTGGTTTATCAAGGTGGCAGACTCTTCTTCAGATGTAAACTTATAAATTTTCTCTAAGTACTGCTTTACCTACATCCTGTTTATTTTGATGTTTGTCTTTATTTTTATTCAGTTAAAACTATTCTCTAATTTCTCTTTTCATTTTTCTTTGACCATTTGTATATTTAGAAGTATGAAATGTAATTCCAAACACTTGAGTGCTTTCCAGTTCTAATTTAATATAGCTAATTTAATTCTGTTATGATTGAAGAAAACAACTTGTATGATTTCAGTCCTTTTAAAATTTTGAGACTTATTTTATGACCTATCTTGTGGTCTGTCCTGGAGACTGATAATATGCTTTAAAACAATGTATGTTCTACTTTTGTTTGTAGTTTTCTGTATTTGCCAGAATGGTCTAGTTGGTTGATATTGTGGCTTAAGTTTTCGCTACAGTATCTTTATATTATCTACAGTAATTTTCTTGTCTGGGTGTTCTGTCAGTTAAATTAGAGTGGGGTATTGAAATCTCCATTTGTAATTGTTGAATTTTCTGTTTTTCTTTTCAATAATATTATTGCTTCATTAATTTGGATCTCTTTTGATACATATATGTTTATAATTGTCATAATATCTGGATTTATTATACAGGATATCTTCCTTTGTCTCTAGTAATATTTATCTTAAAGTATGTTTTTGTCTAATATATCCGCATCAGCTCTTTTGTGGTTACTATTTTCATTGTATATTCTTTTCCCCCCATCTTTGTACTTTCAGTCTTGTTGACAGCATAGAGTGATAGTCTGCCTTTTCTTGAGCTGTTTAGTTTAGACAACTAAACTGTTTAGTTCAGACAACATTTAAATTGTGGATGTGGTTGAATTGTGGACATGGTTGAATTTACATTTGCCTGTTTGCCATTTGTTTATTATATGTGTTATGGTTTCTGTTCTTTTGCCTCCTTTACTGTCTCTTTTTGTGTTAAATATTTTTTATTGTGCTGTATTAGTAGTTTTTTTTTTTAACAGAATTTAAGATCATTTCTTTGTGGTTGTTATAGTGTTTATATTATGCGTTTCAAGAAACTGCTTAATATTAGCACTACTCTTCATATCGGTAAAATGTAGTAGAAACTTTGCTCCAGGATAGCTTCATTTTCTCCCTCTGTTGTGCCACTGTTGTTGTATATAACATCTATATATACTATAAACCCAGCAATACGATGTTATAATCATTGCTTTATACATTCTTCTGTTTTTTAAAGACGCTAAGAGAAGAAATGAGAAAAATATGTTTATATGGAGTCTTTTTAACCTATGTATTTATCATTTCTGGTGTTCTTCTTTTCTTCCTATATATTTGAGTCTGGTTTCTTTTCCTTTCAGCTTGATGAACTTCCTTTGGTATTTCTTGTAACAAAATTTTCTCTCAGTCCTTGTTTATCTGAGACTATTTCTATTATGCCTTCATTATTGAAAGATAATTTTGCTGCCTCCTTGGTTGACCATTTTTTTTCTTTCAGCAGTTTGAATATGTGATTCCACTGTCTTCTGGCCTCTTGTTTCTGATTGAAAGTCAGCTGTTAATTGTGTTGATGATTCCCTGCACATGCCAAGTAAATTTTCTCTTTCTGCTTGCAAAATATTTTTTTGTGTGTTTGCTTTCAACAGTTTTACTATGATGTGTTTAGGTATAGGCCTTTGTTTTTATCATATTTGAGACTCTTAAGATCTGTAGATTTGATTTCTTTAAAAAAATCAAATTTAGGGAGTTTTTGGCTGGTGTTTTGTTAAAACAAGTTTTTTTCCTGTACTTTCCTCTCCTTATGGGACTCCATAAATGTTGGTAAGTTGATCTCTAAAGTGCTATTCAATTTTTTTAACCTTTTTTCTCTCTGTTCTTCAGATTGGATAATTTCTACTGATATCTCTTTGATGTTGTTGATTTTCTTCTTAAATCTACTGTCTTAAATCTACTGTTCATCCCTTCTAGTAAAGTTTTTGTTTTACTTTTGGTACTCATCAACTTCAGAATTTCAGTGTGGTTCTTTCAAATAATTCCTGTATCTTTCCTAAAAATCTCATTGGTTTATTGTTGTTATGATTAAAAAAATATAGATTTTTAATTTATAATCATTAAAAATAGTTCTTCTACTTCTTTTAACTTGTTTATGATAACTACTCTGAAATCTTTGACTGTTCTGGAGATAGTAAAAAATGGTTTGTAGTGACTATAATTTTCCATTAATATAGGTCACATTTTCCTTTTTGGAGGGTATGTTTTTGTAATTCATTGTTAAAAACTGGGCAGTTTAGATAATATATCGGGGCAGCTGGATTGTGAGTCCCTTCTCCCTGCCCAGGTTATTATTACTGTTGTCATTTCACTGTATATATTTAATGATCTTATTGGGAAAAATTTTTATTTTGGACAAAAGTTTATCTGGGAAAAAAGGATGTGCATTAATGTCCTAGAAAATCCAAAATGAGAGGGTAATTACTGAGGGGTGAATAACGCCATCATGATTTAAATTTTTAAAAATATGGATGTAGGCTTGAAATGTTTTTAAAAAGTGTGTTAGTTTTATAGTTTCTGTAACTCAAAAGTGGCATTGTTACTGGGTTTGTTGTAGGTGGTAAAGACTGTTCTTCTTACCTTTGTACTATTGTAAAGACCTGGTATGCACTCATAGGATGTTTCATAAATCATCTGACTCCAAGCTTCCTGTGAAGGAGTATATACAAATCATTCTTATAGATAGGAATCTAATGTTTTTGAAGACTTCTATGGTAGGAAATTCCATAAACTTGTTAGTCTGTTACTGTGTTCAGAAATATTCACTGTCAGGAAGTTTCTTTTCTTGTGCATAGCTTATGGTCTTCATTTTTACTTAATTTGGGAGTGGGAGGGTTGGGTTATGACACACAATCTCCCTATGTGATTATTCGCATCTTTTTGTCAACTTTTCCTGTCAAAAGATGACCATGCTGATTATGTTTTTGTATCTAGGTACTAAATGATTCTATAACTGTAACCTTGTCTATTATAAATATACATGCATTGTATACATGACTAGTGCTACTTATTATTTGTAAAACCTGATCTTTGGTTTGCCTTTCTCTTCATTTCATAGATTATAAAGCTGATGTCATTAGTGTTAAGTCTTTTTCATTTTTGTTTCTCTTTCTAACCTTAGGCATGTAGCCCACTTTAGTTTCCTTCAGCATCCCATCTCTCTGAAGCTGTAGACTCCAGATCTAGACAAATTCTTCATCATGAAGCCAGGGTTTTTCAGAGATAATACTGGGTCAATTATATTTTCCCAGTTCCATACTTGAAAACATGTCACTGCTTGGTCATTTAGGTGTAGCCTGTTATTTACAAAAAGTGATCACTTCATTATTCATGCCAGTTTCTTCATTATTCATGCCAGTTCTGTATTTGTACAGTACTTTTCCCTCCCTAAATAGTGTATTTTTGTTGTTGTTGTATGTTTTTCTTTTTTGTAGGAATTGGAAGGCATAAGTGATTAAGGTGGTATTGAGGGTCTCTGAAGCCTATGAAATTCAACCATGATTTCTTTTTCAACTCTACAGCATTCCCTTCCTTGAAGTCTTCATTTTCACCTTAGTCTGAGGTAACTTTATTACTCGTTTTTCATACTCACAAATAAGTAGATGTTTTTAAATAAGAAACCATTTTTTAACTCTTAGAATTTCATGTAGGTTTGTTTAATAGTTTTTTGTAAATATTTGATACTTATATCTGGAAAAATGTGGGATTTATCATTTTTCTTAAAAAGATAAGTTTTAAGAAAAAAAAGAGGAAATAGTAACATTGTTTTAGATCTTAACTTTGGTGTAGCACTGATAAATATGTGTAGCTTATTATGTAACCTTAAGTGAAATTTAAATAGGAAAGGTGTTTTCTTCTTTAACCCTTCTTTTTAGCAGGATATTACATTTTTCACCCCCCTGTCATCAGCCCTCGTATATATAGCCACATTAAATTTTCCAGAATTTATGGGAAAATTTTTCATGCGTGGGAAAATTAGATTTGATGATCAAATTTAATTGAGTTTGGCTTACAATTTTTTAACTGTACCATTTATAGTAGATGAAGTATGGATTTGGCTACTATGACAGAGGGCTTAAATGAAAGAAATATATTTGTATTTATTTGAGAAGTCCATGTAAACAGTCTTGAGAAAGTATGGAGGCTCTCCATGATATCATCATCAATCCGTGGAATCATCATGACCTAGACATCTTTGTCTTGCTCTGTTATTTTTAATATATGGCTTCTATCATGTGATCCAAGGTGGTTAGAATCATGCATGCCTGCAGAAAAACAGAAATGGGAGGAACATTTTCCTTTCCTTTAAGGGTAATTGTGTATATTCTGTTTGTATCCCAGTGATTATATTTTTGTCATATGACCATAACCAGTTGCAAGAGAGACTGGGCAATAAATCTTAGTAGTTTGTTACTGGGTAATAAGGAGAGAACATATACTGTGGGGTGGGGGCAGTTAGTATATTAAGTTTGTGTCCGATTTACTTTACATTTGTTGAGTTTGTCAATGTAATTTTTATTGTCTGAATCATATTTTCTCTTGACCTGGGAGAATACTTGGAAATTAGCTTTTTCAGATTCTGAGACAGTTCTAGTTTTGTGGCCAGTAATGTTGGTTCATTGATTAGACACTGCTGGTCTTGATATTATAAAATGCAATAAAGATTTATAAGTTAAAATTGACTTGAGGTAATTCCTTATTGTGTTTCTCTGCCTTTAGGTTGAAATGAGAGTTCTAACTTTTTTGAAATTGAAGTATAAGATTTGTCTAACATTTTAGACTGTAAAACAAGGTAGTGGGGGCATTGGGTAGGTAGATCTTTTAACTGTGCATAAAGCTAAATGATCTGTAACTGGTCCCTTCTAATTGCAAGAAATTTATTATTCTGAATGCTTAGTTATGATCAGAACAACTTATTTCAAGGACACTGTATGCCTTTTAAAGACAGTATTCTTAACTTTCAGACAAATATTTCATTGTATATCTTAGAGTTCTTGTCCTGTTCTAAGTAATGTATTTTGAAACAATTATCAAATACTGTACATTTCTATTATAGAATTTATTAAAGGGTTAGGAAAAGTTGTCAATTTTCTCCTATAGTTTATGTCAACATATATTTATATATTGGTACCCTTTGTTTTTTGCTTTCCTTGAATTTACATGGAAAATATCAAATATACAAAAGAGGATAGAATACGGAGAATAGCACAGTAAATCCCAAAGAACCAATAACCCTACTTCAAAAATTTGCAGCTATTGCCACTCTTACCTGATTTACGTGCTGCTTCCACTCTTCACTACTCCACGCTTACTCTTACATTGTTTTGAAGAAAACATGAATTCATCCCTAAGTATTTATGTATATATATTTAAGATGTTATTGAATTATTTTAACAAAAATCACAAAATAATAATAGCTCTGTAATTTCAGTGTTCATTTTTCCAGTTGTTGCATAAACTTCATTATTTTTTCTTCATGTTTAAAATTAAAATATAAATAAGTCCCACACAGTGACATTGGTTAAATGACCCTTAACTTTCCTTTTATATTACAGGTTCAGATTCCTTCTCCCAATTTTTTCCCTTGCAATCTATTGTTAAACTTCCTCGTTTGTTCTGTACAGTTTCGCAAAGTCTGGATTTTGCTGATTACATTCCTGTGGTTTTTTATCTTGCACATTCCATGTATTTCTTGAAAATTGGTAGTTGGATTTAAGGGAGTAGTAGATTTAGTTTAGAAATTTTGGGCAAAACTTATTAAAAAATAGTGGTTTGAGGGCCTCCCCTGGTGGCGCAGCGGTTGAGTGCTGGGTTGCGAGGCTGCCCACAGCCTCTGCAGCGCCAGTTCGATCCCCGGCCACTGGTGAGGGTCCCACCAAAAAAAAAAAAAAAAAAAGTGGTTTGAGCTCTAATGTCTGGTTATTCTTATTTTTGTGAGATTAGCAGCTCTTCATGCTCAGTTTCTAGATTAATTCATTAACAAATGGCTGTGAAAAAGTTATTTTAAAACTAACTTTTGTCATTTATAGCCTTCGATGTTTCTCTAAGGAGAATTATTCTGTTATTTGTTTACAGGAGGTACAATTAGTATAGGGGAGTCAGCTTATATGCCAAGTCCTTTGATTTATCAGTTTTCAAAACGGTAAGTTAGTTTATTGATACCCACTAAAAATGACCTTATTTTCTTTCTTGGTATCACAGTTAACTGTTATGTTTAAACATATTTGGTCTTTTCAGTAGATTTCAGTGGTGATAATGGTTCTTATTATTGAAAGGGTCCCAATTTGGACCAGGGAAAACTGAAAATTGCCTTTGAGTCCTTTAGCAAGAGCACTAGTCCTTTGTTGTCTGGCATAACAAGTGCCTCTACCAGATTTTAAGTCTTTGTGCTACAATTAGCCACTACTCTGGAAGAACTCTTGATTTTTGTGGAAAATGATGTTTGGAAAACCTAATCTATACATTAGTGATGCCCATTGTTTCTAGCTCATTACCATTTCTGGAACTAATCTGTGGACAGAACAAGGGAAGCTTGAATATATGTTTTTAGATGAAATTGTGAAAAATAATGTTAATTTCAGTTAAAATATGCCCTATAGAATTCTTATGTAATTTCTTCTTTTTTACATCCAATTCTCCCTCAGGAATCTTGGCACTCTGGGAATAATTTGAATTTGGATATTACATATTTATTTGGTTTATCCCATATTACATGTACTATTTTCTCATGTCATTGCTCCCATCAGTCGTATGACAGTTGATCATTAATTTGTTCTTATGATATATATCCCTCTAGAGATGATTTGTCAAATTGATCTGTTTTAAACTCATTTGGAATAGTTGCTTTCTATGTGGTTATATTCCTTTTTGATAGCATTTTTTGAGACTAATGGCAATTTTGATAAATTTGAATACTTACATGTAGTAGACTTAAGAGTAGTACTGTTATAAGACATTTTTGGCATTGAAGGCAATGAATGCATCTTCAGTTTGTTGTAGTTCACAAGGAGTGTTTGTACCAGCAAAGGAAGAGCATTTAACTAATATTTAAAAAGTAGAATGTTACTGTCTTAAATAGTTAACATTTCTGTTCTGGAAGGAGTCTTGCTTTTTATATAGTACATATTAAAAATAACTAAGGTTTTTAATGCTACTTTATAGTGTACATGAAAGTTTGTTTTAAGACGAAATTTTTATATTCCTTTTGTTATACAAGATTATAGAAAATTGGTAGTTTCCAAGTATTTTGAATATTAATGTTTGAGTTTTATGCATTGGCATAAAATTTTGTGGATAAAACAATTAGGTCCTACAGAATGTAGGTTTCTGTTTTGCTTGAACCTAAACGTTTTAAACCTTTTTTTCCCCTTTTTATGGTAAATTATGGCTGTTATTGAAAACAGTTTGAGTTGCCATAGTGTATGTTTTATGATTATTTGGTATGCAGAATATGTATACATTCTGCTTTATATGAAGTGGGCTCAGGCTTATAAAGATGCCTGTTAACTTTGACTTAAATATTTGTTATTTTCCTGTAGTAAAAAAGGATAGCAAATTTTTCTTTTCAGTTGTCATATTGTATAAAACAATTGGTCTTACCTTATAAATTGTCATATTAAACATCTGCAGTTGCTAGCACTAATCAGAAGTGCCATTTTGTCTAGTTGCCACTATTGTAAATGCTGCTCCTATTAAGATGTTTTGAAATAGTAGCAATTTAAAAGTTATAAGGGGAATAGTGTATAAGATATGCTTTATATATGCAAAATGGTGATTGAGCAAAGGTGTGTCTCAAGAGGTCTCTGAATGTAGAATATACGTAGAGAAGAAGTAGATTTTGTTTCTAAATTTAAGATGAAATTTTTTCTTACATCATAACTATACTTTTGAAGGATGGGAGAGAAAATAAACCTTAGGATTGACCAATGACAGATTGTTAAATCTATATTGATCATAGTTTTGATTTTAGGCCTCTTGTTTTATCTAACCAATTGAACTTCAGGCTGATTGATATTTATGTTTCTAATACTGATGTTTTTAAGCTTCATGGGATAGAGATGTTAATATCCAAATTAATGTAACTGGCATCCTCTGGACAACAGGAAGTTTGCAGAAAAATGCTTTGGATTAGAGTATTTTGTGAAATCTTGATTTTTAAAAAATCGGTTTTAAAGTCGGGTCCTTTGAGTACTTTTGCCTACAAGCAGAGTTTCTTTATAGACTGACTAGGTTGTGGTACAAGTCAGGCTAATATTGATTTAGGAGAATATTTTGAATTGGAAATTATTCTTTTCACAAAAAAGACAATGATGTTCCTAAACTTGCCTAGTAAAATATGTTCTGAGCCATAATATATAATTGAAGCTCTACATTATTTAATAAAAATTGATGGATAATATTATAGCCAAACTCAATAAATAAAACAGAAAAACAGTATCTTGAAGTGAGAAATGTTTTTATGCTTGAATGCAGATTTAATTAAAGGTGATAAAATTGCAGATGAACATTCACGTACATTCTGAAGGGAGAACAGATTCTTTTAAGAATTTTAGAGGTTTGTGGCATAAGTTGTCAAATCTATATGCACTCCATAACTTACAGTTATGCCTTTAACACTACTCCTACATTTATAAGTCATATTTAGAATTTTCTTTTAATTTCCAAGTGAAAATGGAAGAAACAGAGTGGAAAAGAGATGTTACTGAAAGTATCTTGACAAAGGTTTGAAGAAAGAATGGAAGGATTATGAGGTTGTATGTAAACCTATTGGGAAAAAAAATAAGAAGAAATTCACTGAGGTTTGACTAGTAGATGGGAAAACATGAAATACAGAAAATTTCCTTTTCCTCTCGAAGGTAATGGAGGATTCTGTGTCACAAAATTTTCTCATGGTAGCTATAAAGTGGGAGTAGCCAGAGTATGATTGCTTTCACAAGCTAAGTAGTGGTGGCAGAGTGACCTTGGAGTAGGTAGGTAAGAAAAAACTGACTTCAGTGAATTCTAAATGTGTACAGAACCTTTTCAAGTCAGGAGGTAGTAAGGTATGGTAAAAAGTGCATGAAACCAGGTAAACCTGTTTTGAAATCGCAGTTTACTTCCTAGCTGTGTGACTTTGGATGAACTCCAATTTCTTCATCTGTTGAATGGAGATAATACTGTTACTGTCTTGAGGGTTATTGTAAATATTAAGAGATAGATATGTATGTATGTATGTATATATGTAAGTAAGTAAAAATGTTTCTGCCACTGTCTGTAACACACCTTCAGTTGTCCTTCTGTTATAGGGCAGCCCCAATACAAAACGGTTTGCCTGACTGTGGGTCCTCACCCGTGTGCTTAAAAGGACTTATCAATGCTCTACTGCAGGCACACACGAAAGGTTAATAAAAGGTTTATTTACAAGGGAAGGGCAAATGAGGAAATGTACAACTCAGGGAGAAAAGTGGGAGACAAAGTTTTAAATGCATCCTACCCGATTCGCCGATCTGGAATCCCAAATGGCGCTCTGAGAGCTGGCCGCAAGCCAGGAGCCATGAAGCCAGGAGGCGAGCAACAGAGCGATGAGCGAGCCTCCAAGGCCCACGTGTTTGGTTTTTTTTATACCCAACCTGGCTGCTTAACTCCACCCTCAGGTCCCTGCCACCTTCCCTTTGGTGGTGACAGGATTTGTCTTTCCCAATGTCCTGATTGATGGCTTTGTTCTGGAGTGGGGGTGGAGTCCACAAAGCCTGTATGGGATTAGCTCAGAACATCCTTTCCCCCTAACACTTCCTCTGCAGGTTAGGATTATCTTGGAACTTTATAATACACTCTCAAGTCTTAATACATTTGGGAATATGTTTTCCTCATTAATTACATTGGCCTTCCATGCAAAAACCTCAAAAAGCATTTTTAGTGTCTTCTATAGTTGATTTAAATGTTTCTGTTAACGTTGTCCATTGAAAACAAGCTGAAACCATCTGCTCAGTTAAGAAATAATTGTTGCTAATGCTTATATTAAAAGACCATGTGTTTACTTCCTTATTAAAAGTCCTGCTCAAAAGCTGATTTACTGTTTCAACTTACAGATCTATAAAGCTTAATTTCTAATTGTTTTCTCACAGTTGATTAGAAGCAGTAAAATAGAAGGTGACAAGAAGAGTCAGCTGACTCACTTAGAGGACAGGAGAACAATGGCTGATAATTTATATTCCTTTTGAGTACAGCATTGCTGTTCAGGTTGAATGAGTAGGGGTTACCTAATCAGTTATAGTTGGGATTGCTTTCACAATTGAACCAATATTTTTCAGTAGAAAAGAAGTGAGGGAATTGAATGGAGCATGAAGCTGTATTGTATTGTTGCCCCCTGAATGTCCCTGTTGCTGTACCTTCTAGCTTTTTTGGCAGGATAGAGATGAAGGAAGACTAAACATGGATAAGAATGATGCAGAGTTTAAAGTAATGTGTTAAAGGGAAATTTAGGAGAAATTGGCCTGAGCTGGGCTCCTTCCTTTCTTTCTCTTACCTGCTCTATTCTAGTTTTTAGCAACCACTGTTCTGAGTAACTTGAATTGCAAAAGGAGTGCCACCTGACCTTTAGCTGAAGTAGCCCTTGGACATCATTGTTTATCCTGTTTTGGCTCTTAACAGTTCTGCCCTTTTAACCTTTTGTCGGCTGCTCAAGGTTTACAAAATAATGGATCTTCATAAGGAGTTGAGAATGGCTTATTATTCTACTTAGTCCTCTTTTTCCCAGTTGGATAAAGACTTCTAGAAACTCAAATTAATTTTTTTTCCAGAATAGTCTTTTTATGTAAGTGGTATAATTTAAAAATGCATTATTTCTTCCTCTATTCTAATCCCTGAATTTCCATTGATTGTCTAGATATTTGGATCAAAAAAGCTAGTTCACTTTTTAAGGGTTTAGCAGGAAGAAACATTTAACTACTCATACCCTAGCATTGATTGCATCAGTTTCCTTTCATTAGACTTGTGTGATCCACCTTGAAAATATTAAAACTAGAGAAGAGAAATAGCCTGTGTTAACTTTTGAGCCTTTCCTTGTCTTCAAATGGTTTTTGAATGTGCTGTGAAGCACATGAGAGCTTTGATTGAGAACACAAAAGTTAGAAGGGGAAAAGGTATAGATGATAAGTACTATTA